TCTAAGCTTGTCCTTCTTACAATGACTACTGCGAACACTGCCAAATACCAGGGTAAAGAAGAGGCTAGGGCATAAGGGGTGGGTGCCTGGAACAGAGGGAAAGCTCTGAATGAAGGAAAGGCAAACGTCATGAAGTCCGAGCACTTCACTTACTGAAGTGCTCTTCAAGCCTATTAAGAACATCTGTTTCTTACTTTATTCACAAATACCCTCATCTGAATGGTAGTAGCCATATTAATACGAAACTTTAAAAAATAGAAACACTGCTTACAAAAATTCAAAGCAAAGATAGCTACTGAGAACGACTTATTGTAAAGACAAATGGCCCCATGACATACTTCAGTAGGCCCTGAGGACCCTGCATTAACAAATATTCATCAATAATCCCTAGTCATTCAAATAAATAAGGCTTTGAAAGATATTTTACAATAAGAATGGTGGAGATGAAGTGTTCTAGCAATCAAAGATAAGCATTTATTATCTGGAAAATTTACTAATTCAATGCCCAACGATGCTAGATGAATAAAGTATTAATTTATCTAGAAACTTTCAGGAAGAATATATCATTTTATATTTTCCAAACAGGATACAATAGTGTAAAATTAAGCATTACTAATAAAAATTTCAAAAGGTGCAAAGTTCTCAATTTTAGTAAAAATTATACAGTTCTCACTTTTAAGAAAATGAAAACTATTGGCCTTGTATTAACACAAGCTACCAGTAAACTAAATCCTTCCCAAGGTGAAAAGAGTGTTTCAAAATGGACTTTTAGAGTCTATAGCAATTGTCGCTATGAGTCAGCATGGACTCGATGGCCATGGGTTTGGTTTGGGTTTCCGGTTACAGTAATTCATAAATGAAGGTAAACATTCTGTTGTTCCAGTTTGCTCCTCTTCTATCACCCTTCCCCACCACTATATCACACACTTCAATATTCTCCTTTTACCTGAAGAAATATGCTATACAATCTAGCATAACAAGGTGGAACAACTTTATATTTTAAATTTATGTAGGGTCTTTAGGAGTACTGAGGCTTTCAATATAAAATTGCACACAGGTTAGAGCTTTAAGAAATGTTACGGTAGAAGTGACAAAGCACAGCCGAGCATTTTAAATAGGGTTCCACACAATAATTATCACTGCAGTAGGCAATTTAGCACGGGTGACCCTCTGCACAGCAACAATTCTAAAACATACAGCCAAGAGCACAGTCATCTATTTGCTGCGTTACCTTGATTGGGGTGGGGGGTGGGGGGAAGCACAAGAAGACTAGCTCTGTACAAAGGATTAACACAGCACTGCGCAAAAGTTAGTAAATAAAATCTAGTTGGAAAGAAATCGAATAATGAAAAGAAAGTCAGAGCAGAGTCAGAGAGAAGCAAGCCAGCGACTACAAAGCATAAACCTTTTGGCCTAGATTCGTTTGTGATGACTTTGTGACCCAGATACGAAGATGTCTGACTAACACTCAGAAATCTAAAAGCTGCAATGAAATACATGGTCTGCTAATTAAGTATTTTCGTCAAAATGACAGGTACCATACTTAAATATATAATTAGCCATTTTCTATAAAAAGATTTTTTAAAACTTTAAAAACAAGTATTTCTTTTTTGCTTTGTAAAAGATCCCATAAATTATACTTCACTTTTATAATCAGACAATAAGGATGACACTACTTACTAAAGATATTATGGTACAAAAATCCTCTGAAGAGAAGAGCGTAAGGAGAATAGAGATGTTTAAAAAGTAAAGCTTCTTTAAGAGGCTGTATTTACCTAAACTAACTTTTTTCCATTTATGGTCCACATAGTTTGTTCTACAAAGAGTTGTCTATTAAATGACAAGAGAAGTTTTAATAAAATACCATCTTCAAATGAATCTACAGACGTCCTGTGGGAGACAGAGAGTAGATTGACCAGGGACTCACTTCATACTCACCTGGCTTAAGAGGGGAAAGTGGTGTTTCACGTAAGTAAAAATTTTAGATAATATGTACTCCTTAATGCACCTGTAGTAGATCACACTTAAGGCCCTATCCAACATTTCCTCCTTCCTAATGATCCAGAGTTTGATTCCTACAATCAAGTCTCTCCTAGTAGCCCTTGTCCCAGGGGAAGCTGACTGACCCTGAGCACCAAGGGTAGACTATTATTAGTCTAACCCATATGGTAAACCCACCCGCCTTGCCAATGACTAGTCTGGGTATATATAGAACTAAACAAATGCAGGCCAATGAGAAGCAAGCTGGGGTGGGGAGGTGGGGCTGTTTAGGGAAAAGAAGCTATATTGCTCATGAGAAAATCAACAGAAGTTAATTCTTTTCCCTTTGGATTTGAAGGAGGAAACACAAAATTCTGATTGTGACCAGCAGCCATCTCTAACTACAGTGCTGAGAAAAAAGACAGCACTGGGTAAAAAGAATGGAATAAAAAAAACAAACTGAGTCCTTGAAGAAATCATTGAGCCACTGGCTTAACTAATTCAAATGTATGTCTTACCTCTGCTACTTCCTTATGTAAGTCAACTAATATCCTTTTCATTCATGCCAAAATTAGATTAATTTGCAAATTGATCAGCTATTAGGAAACTGCTAAGTGCCAAACTATTTAATTACTTTCAGAAATTATAAAATCTGTTTTATCTATTCCTGGCTTTAAAAAAATACCATGTGTTACTTACTTTTGTCTATTTTCCCAACATCCTACAACGATCATGCATTATCTGTATAATTGGGAGAACTCATTAAAACCCGCTGCCGTCAAGTCAATTCCGACTCATAGCAACCCTATAGGACTGAGTAGAACTGCCCCATAGAGTTTCCAAGGAGCAGCTGGTGGATTTGAACTGCTGACCTTTTGGTTAGCACCCAAGCTCTTCACCACTGCGGCACCAGGGCTCCATAATTGGAAGGGGGGTATTTAAAAAATCAAAGTGAACCAACCAATTTAAACTCCTCTTGATCATCAATATAAAAGTCAAGTTATGCTATTGTTTTAATACAGTAATGCGTTCATGGGCCCATGATATACTCAGATTACTGTGTTCTTAAAGTTTGAATTCCCTCTGATATCAACTGTCTCTTGTTCCTGCTGTACTTTATTCATTACTGCTTAAGAGAGAACCACTAGACTCTCACCTACAGTTCACTGGGTCCCCATCTCTCACACACTCCCATCTCACTCTGAGTTCCCAGTAATGTACATGCAGATGGTTGCACCTGCTAGCAGTATGCTCTAAAGCATATAAAAATTACTCTGGGAAGAGTGAATTTCTCTTGAACTCAGTTTAAGCTAAAAATATAATCGATAAAATTAGTTTGTACTTCTTATAAAAAACATTTCAGCTTTCCTTCCTCCCTCCCTCCTTCCATGTTTACTTTATCTAGAAATAATGATGATTTTTTACCTTTAACAGTGATTGAAGGCCTCTATAAAGCAGAGGTGGTAAGAAGGCCCGTGGGCCAAATACATCGCACAGGCATATTCTACCCTGTACAGCAATGGTTCCCAAGTGTTTTAAACACATTTTAATTAGTTACCAACTAATTCACATAAAAAAAAAATCTGTATTTCAGGCTCCTCTGAAAAGCTGACAAGTGTGGCAGCATTCAGCCTGAATACTCATATGGTCATAGTCAGATGGAGTCGAGTATTAGCTGTTCTCCTCCCCGCTTAGATAAGCATGAAATCTCTAGAGCCCCAGTTTCTATACTATTTCCCTTGATTGTTTAATTCACTAATAGTCAAGGCCTTTATGGATACCCAACTATGGTACTACGCTAATTTAACAGGATGATAGTAGCCACAGGTATACAAGAAGTACTGCTGGCTAAGAAACCACAGTAGTTCTTACAGAATTTAGGGAAGTATGCTTCTGAGACTTTTTCCTCCTTAATCTTCTAATTTAACTGGAACTCTTAATCTTAGTCTTTAACTAGTATCGGAAACAATTCAGAACAATCCTTAGACAGAATGCTCCCCCAAAGAAAAATGTTTGTTTTTTCCAAAATGATCCAAGAAGAATCAAACATCCAGCAATAAATTCTTATAATAAAGGAAAAAGTGTTTCTTAAAAGAATTCCACTTAAAATGGCAAAAACTCCTCATCTAAGTTTCAGCCAATAAACCAAGAATGAGGAAATCCTAAATATTCATAATCACCTTTCAAATATGATAGTTATTAATAAGAGGTGTGAACAAAATCATGCACCATAAAGGTATACATTTAGTATATACAAAATCAGTTATGTCTTATATACATTAAGATGCCAAATTCTCTTTCGAAAATAAATTATCGCCAGGCTATTGGTGGAGCAAACAATAACAGGAATTAGCTCAATTCACAAATTATTTTCTAAGGAAGAATGCCTTTTAAATTGTATTCTATAGTATAGTCACTTTCTAACCACAAGCACAAGCTACTTAAAGGAGTTTAGTTACAGAAGATCTTACAATCCAAGAGATGATACAATAGCAACACTAGCTTTATATTTCTGCTAAATCACCAGGCTTTGTGTACCTGCCAAATTTCAAGTCCATTCCATTCTCTCCAACTCCACTGGTATGCCCGTCATCTCCAACTTGCTCTATAGCAACAGTTTCCTAACATGGCCTCCACACTTACTAGAGTGACATTCATGTTTTTCAAATGAAAATCGAATTCTGTCACACTCCTGCTGAAAACCTTGTCATGGTCCCCACTGCCCTTCAGGATCAAGTCCAACCCCCTGAACAAGGCCACAATCCTGCATTCCTCTCCACCTTTACTAGTTCTTGTCAATGCTCAGTCAAATCGGAATTCTTTTTAGTTCTTCCTTTGCTTTTACAGATGCTATTTTTGCTGCCTGCAATACTCTTTCCTACACCTTCTCCTAACTCCCAGGCTTAACTAACTCATACTAATTATTCCCACCTCTGCATAAAAGTTATTTCTCTAGTCCCTCCATGACTGGACCCCCTCCCCATCCCAGATCAGGTTAGGTCTGCCTGTTAAATACTCACCATCTTACAACTTCCCCTTGACACTTATTTTAGTTGCAATTACTTGTTTAGTTTCAGCCTTTTCCAAAATTGTTGGTTTCATGAGGACTGAGACCATAACTGTCTTCTTTACTGTCTTACAACATCATTTAACATAATGCCTGGCGTAAAATAATAGCATTTAATAAATGTTTGTCCAGTACGTGAGTCTCATTAAAGTGAAGGTAACCCATAACCAAAATGAATTATTGTTGAAAAGGCAGCACAGTAGACAATACACATATCTAGAGGTCTTCAACCTGGTTTATAATCCCAGATCTACCGCTTACTGTGTGACTACACATCTCAAAATACTCAGATTCTTTATCTTAATAAGAATCCTATCCATCAGCTGTTTTGTCTCCTTTATGCAGTTCTGGGGGAGAAAAGTAGTCTATTTTCTCAATTCTAAAATGCACATTTTTTCACTTTAATGTTTTTTAAATTAAGAAGAGTCTGACAGTAGATCGCAAGAGAACCCTGCCAGCCATTGCACAGAATGCTAAAATACCTTGCCCATTACCTACCCATACGCAAACTCAGACATGAATACAAATGCATCTATTTATCTGTCACCTCAGTTATCTACAGGTAACTGCGTAGTGGTTAAGTGCTACGGCTGCTAACCAAAAGGCTGGCAGTTCGAATCCACCAGGCACTCCTCGAAAACCCTAGGGGGCAGTTCTACTCTGTCCTATAGGGTTGTTATGAGTCAGAATGGACTTGATGGCAACGAGTTTGGTTGTTTGTTTTTTTTTTTCCAGTTATCTACATTGATAAAACCATATACAGTTGAATTTTAACTTAATTTTAAATCCCTAATTACCTCTGGAAATGTCTTTTAGAAGATCACTATAATGCAGCAAGTTATTATCTATCCAAAACTGCCTGTGATGTGCCAAGATATTCAATTAAAAGCAGTAGGAAGTACCCCCCACCACAAAAAAAAAAAAAAAAATCACAGGAAAGATTACAAAATTTTCCAGTTTAAAGGAGGCCAATGTGGCTGGTTACTGTAAAGTGAAGGTCTAATACGTGATAATTCTGAACAGGTACCAAGTATCTGTTTTGTCAAAAGTTTTCTGGATAACTTTCAAGAGAAGATAATTAACTTCCACTGATACATAACATAATTGGTTAAAAAAAAAAGAAAGCAAGCTACAAATGTAATTAAATAGGAAATAGAAACCAAGCTAAAGTAATTCTTGGATGTATCTCGGAATTATGCTATCAATCCTAAAAGGGCCAGAGGTCAAGAAGAGTAGCATGTGGCTGAAACGCCTGTGGGCAAAAATAATTCAGGACAATCCTTATACAGAATACTCCTCCCCAAGAAAAGTGTCTGTTTTTCCCAAAAAGAAAGAAAAAAGCCGTGATTAAATCAAAGGATGTATCTCACAATTGATGAGCTCTTAAAATCAAGACAATACAGTATTATGCACGAACATGTTCTGCAAATTACGTGCTATACAAATAAGTAGTTTTAAAGGTGTCCGCTGTGTATGACATATAAAAATAAAACTGTTCTACATAATTCTTAAAAGTTTCTCCCAAAAACTGTTTATAAAGTCAAAATGAGAAGATGAAATGGGATTCCAATGTCACTGCATTTTCCAAGAGGAAATGAAACGCTCCCCTAACTCTCACTGGACAAAGAGACTTGACAAGACTAAGCCCACTTCTTTTGCCCTCTTCTCACTTCCAGCACTGCCCACGTGATCCATAACACTGTCACATGTTCAATTCTTAAAAATATTCTCCTGGGAAACCTACTCTAATATCTAATCATTATTACTGTCCCAAAGTTCTTTCTTATGTCTATCCATTCTTCCGATTCTTCCGATTGTTATTTCATTATTTAATATTTTCTTTTACAGATATTGATTAAAGTCAAATCAATATCCTCCTCAAACTGATCTTCCAGAGCAAAGCAGGATGTGTGCTTTTACTTATTTTTCCACACATAGTACTAGTTTTTTTTCTGACCCAGTTTAACTCACTCACCTGGTGACCAAAGCTATGTACTGGCAATGTGACAGGATGGCGGTGCTGGTAACTCCTGAGACTACAGTAAATAACAGCTGACTCACACAGAATCAAACCTTTGACAGTTTAGTACCAAGCTTTTTTCTTTTTTAGGAAAGTATCCTATCTCTATACTCTACTTATTAATGATCACTGGAAAACTATATATCTCTTCAGACTTCTGGAGCCCTAGTGACACAGTGGTTAAGAGCTGGGCTACTAACCAAAAGCTGGGCAGTTCCAATTCACCAGCCGCTCCTTGGAAGCCCTACAGGGCAGTTCTACTCTGTCCTATAGGGTGGCTACAAGTCGGAATCGACTCAATGGCAGTGGGTTTTAGGTTTTCAGTCTTATTTCTCTGACTCAGTCTCTTCGTCCCTATGGTTAGGAACTTGTAAATTAGATCATAAACAATTTGTGGAAGCTGACCTAGAAAGACTTCTTAGGAAGGTCATTAAGACTTTTCTGCAAAATGAAAGGTAGACAAGCAGAACAAAATGAAAGGCAGAACTATGGCAAACAGGTAAAAATAGCAAGCCAGTTTCTTTAAACGCTTCTACCAACCCAGTAGCTCACTACATAGTAAACAGTGTATGTTGTTGTTGCTAGTGGCTGTAGAGTCGATTCCGACTCACAGCGACCCTGTGTACAAGAGAACGAAACACTGCTCAGTCCTGTGCCATCTGCACGATCGTTATGCTTGGGCCCACTGTTGAAGCTACCGTGTCAATCCATCTTGTTGGGGGTCTTCCTCTTTTTGGCTGGCCCTCTACTTTACCAAGCATGATGTCCTTTTCCAGGGACTGATCCCTCCTGATAACATGTCCAAAGTATGTTAGATGCAGTCTCATCATCCTTGCTTCTAAGGAGCACTGTGGTTGTACTTCTTCCAAGACAGACTGGTTTGTTCTTTGAGCAGTCCAAGGTATATTCAATATTCTTCGTCAGCACAATTCAAAGGCGTCAATGCTTCTTTGGTCTTCCTTATTCATCCTCCAGCTTTTGCATGCATATAAGGCTATTGAAAACACCATGGCTTGGGTCAGTTGCACCTTAATCTTCAAGGTGACATCTTTGCTTTTCAACACTTTAAAGAGGCCTTTTGCAGCACATTTGCACAATGCAATGCATCTTTTGATTTCTTGACTACTGCTTCCACATGTGTTGATTATGGATCTAAGAAAAATGAAATCCTTGACAACTTCAGTATTTTCTCCATTTATCACGATGTTGCTTTACTGGTCCAGTTGTGAGGATTTTTGTTTTATGTTGAGGTGTCCTCCCTATTGAAAGACTGTGGTCTTTGATCTTCATCAGTAAGTTCAAATCTTCTTCACTTTCAGCAAGAAGGTTGTGTCATCTGCATATCCCAGGTTATTAATGAGTCTTCCTCCAATCCTGATGTCCCGTTCTTCTTCATATAGTCCAGCTGCTCAGATTACTTGTTCAGCACACAGACCGAATAAGAATGGTGAAAGGCTACAACCCCGACATACACATCTTTCCTGACTTTAAACCATGCAGTATCCCCTTGTTCTGTTGAAACAACTGCCTCTTGATCTATGTACAGGTTCCTCATGAGTACAATTAAGTGTTCTGGAATTCCCATTCTTCGCAATCTTATCCATAATTTGCTATGATCCACACAATCTAATGCCTTTACATAGTCAATAAAACATAGGTAAACATCTTTCTGGTATGCTCTGCTTTCAGCCAGGATCCAGCTGACATCAGTGGTTCCACGTCCTCTTCTGACTCTGGCTTGAATTTCTGGCAGTTCCCTGTCGATATACTGCTGCAGCCACTTTTGAATGATCTTCAGCAAAATTGTACTTGTGTATGATATTGTTCAATAATTTTTGCATTTGGTTGGATCACCTTTCTTGGGAATAGGCATAAATACAGATCTCTTCCAGCTGGCTGGCCAGGGAGCTTCCAAATTTCTTGGCATAGATGAGTGAGCACTTCCAGTGCTGCATCCCTTTCTTGAAACATCTCAATTGGTATTCCGTCAATTCCTGGGGCCTTATTTTTTGCCAATGCCTTCAGTGCAGCAGCTTGGACTTCTTCATTCAGTACTATAGGTTCCTGATCATATGCTACCTCCTGAAATGGTTGAACACCGACCAATTCTTTTTGGTACTGTGACTCTGTATATTACTTCCATCTTCTTTTAATGTTTCCTGTGTTGTTTAATATTTTCCCTGTAGAATCCTTCAATATTGCAACTCAAGGCTTGAATTTTTTCTTCAGTTCTTTCAGCTTGAGAAATGCCTAGCATGCTCTTCCTTTTTGGTTTTCTACCTCCAGGTCTTTGCATATGTCATTATAATATTGTACTTTGTCTTCTCTAGCCACCCTTTGAAATCTTCATCATTACTTCATCATTTCTTCGTTATCTTCTTCATCATTTTTTCCTTTTACTTTAGCTACTCGACATTCAAGAGCAAGCTTCAGGGTCTCTTCTGACATCCATTTTGGTCTTTTCTTTCTTTCCTGTCTTTTTAGTGATCTCTTGCTTTCTTCATGTATGATGTCCTTGATGTCATTTCACAACTCGTTTGGTCTTCAGTTATTAGCATGCAATGTGTCAAATCTATTCTTGAGATGGTCACTAAATTCAGATGGGATATGCTCAGGGTCATACCTTGGTACTCGTGGACTTGATCTAATTTTCTTTGTTTCAACTTGAATTTGCATATGAGCAACTGATAGTTTGTTCCACAGTTGGCCCCTGGCCTTGTTCTGACTGATGATATCAAGTTTTTCCATTGTCTCTTTCCACAGATGTCGTCAGTTTGATTCCTGTGTATTCCATCTGGCAAAGTCACGTGTATAGTTGCCATTTATATTGGTGAAAAAAGGTATTTGCAATGAAAAGGTCATTGGTCTTGCAAAATTCTATCATGCAGTCTCTGACACTGTTTCTATTACAAAGGCCATATTTTCCAACTACCAATCCTTCTTCATTTCCAACTTTTGCATTCCAATCACAAGTAATTATCAATGCATCCTGACTGCATGTTTGATCAATTTCAGACTGCAAAAGTTGGTAAAAATCTTCAATTTCTTCATCTTGGCCTTAGTGGTTGGTGTGTAAATCTGAATATTAACTGGTCTTCCTTGTAGGTGTATGGATATTATCCTATCTCTAACAGCACTGTACTTCAGGATGAATCTGGAAATGTTCTTTTTGACAATGAATGCAATGCCATTCTTCTTCAGTTAGTCATTCCGGGCACAGCAGACCATATGACTGTTTTTAAAAAACAGAGTATATAGGACAGTTTATAAGAACTCTAGCATTAAGTAGATACTTGGATTATAAGATCTGTAAATTACATGATTCTTATAAACTTTATTCAGGCTGAACTACCAAAATGTTATGATAAGCTAAAGACTTTAGATGAACTATGGTTGGTCATTAAAAACATACCTTTCAGCATTATCATCATGAATAAATTAATCAAACATGAAGGATACGGGTGAAGGGATGGGATGCAGTAACCCAACTTCCCACACTATGCTAGGTACTTCCAAACAAATTACCTCATTGAACTGTCAAATAATCCTGTGAGACTGACATTATTACCATTGTACAGATGAGAAAATTGAGACTAATAGCTCTTAAGTGACTCTAGTGTACAGTCAGCACTCAAATCCACATGCGCCTGACTATGCCAATTCCTGAAATATGTTAACAGCTAAAACCTACATTCGGCAAAAAATTCCACTCCTCTGAGGTAGTTTGTGTTTCAAAAGATGGTTGCAACCATACATCCCATTCCATCCTTTTTTCAGTGTACTCTTGCTACTCACTCATCAAGAAGTGAAGCCTATTTCTCCTCCCTTGATCTGGGCCAGCCCTGTGACCTGTTTTGATGAACAGAATTGGCAGAAGTGACTCTTGGTAACTCCAGAACCTGGGTCTTAAAAGAGCTGCAGCATCCACCCTTGCCTTTGGAACATTCCTTCTTGGAATCATGCTACCATGCTGTGAGGAAGCCCAAGTAACTCATGGAAAAGCCTACTTAAGGAGAGCCTAGGCTCCTGAGGCCAGCCCCCACTGAGCTCCCAGCTGGCAGCCTGTACCCACCCACTGCCAGCCACGTGAGTGAGACCATTTTGGACTATCTCACCTTCTCAGCAACCCAGCCAAAAACAAACATGAAGCAGATCACCCAATCAAATCTTAAAATCATGAGAAATAATAAAATATTATTGTTTTAAGCTACTAAACCTTAGAGGATGGTTTGCTATACAGCAATAGATAAGTGAAACACTCACCTTCCTCCTTAGAAGTGTATTTCAACAAGACCAGTGTCAGCACTTAAAAGGCCAATAAAAATCCAAAATATTTGGTTTTTCTGACTACTGAAAATACATCTGTGAAATGCCTCTGCAAAGCCAGTTGGAATCGACTTGACGGCAATAGGTTTGGTTTGGGTTTTACACTTAGTCTGGAGTCTTGGTGGTGCAGTAGTTAAGAGCTTGGCTGCTAACCAAAAGATCAGCAGTTCGACACCACCAGCTCGCTCCTTGGAAACACTACGGGGCAGTTCTACTCTGTCTTACAGGGTTGCTATGAGTCAGAATCGACTCGACAGCAACGCGTTTGGTTTTCTGGTTACACTTAGATCAAAAACCAACATGCTTCAGAGCTTCATAAAATCACAATGATTATGGATAAAGTTAACCTTGACTGAATCACTAAGTCTGAGAATAAAAAAATAAGATCACTCGAAGCTTGAAAAAGAAAGGTTAAATAGGTAACAGAGCAGAGTTTGATTATATCAGAATAGAGCATCTACGTTGGATTTATTAGTCTATGTATAATGAAGTACTATCATATGAATAATTAGGATACAATAAAATATAAAACACTGAATTATACTAAGTGCAATACTTACATTATTTAGAAACTTCTTCAAAGACAAACATTATATTGGTAAAGTATCAGTACACTGCAGAGGCAGCAAAATATCAATTCATAAGTATTTCCAGTTGATAGAAATCTGGATTACAGTCCACTCACTGCCTTACTTTACATTTCTGTTCCATAAACTTAATCATCTTGTTAAACCAAGAAATGTGCTAAATAAACACAAATTCCAAGAAACATTTTAGATTACCTCTTAAAGATATCAGATATTAATTTACAACAAACAAAAAGATGTAGTTATTTATGAAAGATAACCACCATGATGTCCAAAGAAATAATTTTTGAGTCACTGTCAGATTACTGGGCTAGACTGACAACTGCTCTGACGTAATAAAATACTGAGTCTCCTAATGGCTTCAATAACCCACTGCCATCAAGTCTATTCTGACCCATAGCCACCTTAAGGACAGAGTAGAACTGCTGCACAGGGTTTCCAATGAGCAGCTGGTGGATTCAAACTGCTGACCTTTTGGTCAGCAGCCAAACTCTTAACCACTGCACCATCAGGGCAAATAATCTGGCATAATTTCTACTCTGATGCTATAATTAAAGATAATTTTAAGAAAATAAAGAACTCTAAAATGCCAAGTAAATAAAAACAAGACAAACAAACAATAAACCCTTATGTTTTACCAGACCAATACTGAAAATGTCACTCAGCCCAGTAAAATGGCTTTTGAAAAACTAGAAGACATTCAATAATTTACAAAGTTTTAAAACTCTATTTTGTTTTGAGGCAGACACTATGAAGGATACTATATCCAGAAACAAAAAGGTATTTTGCTAAAATAAATTTCCAGGGCAACTTTACCATAAGAGTAAAGTTCAACAATTTTTAAGTACTATGTTTCCTTTTAATTGCTATTGGAAAATATACATTTAACACAGATTTTTCATTCTGTTATTTGACCCGGGATACTCAGCTACCACTGAAGCTGCAACTATGCCCAGGCTCTTGCACATTCAAACAAAGTTGCTCTTTGGCTGTAAAGGAGCCTTTTAAAAGAGAGAACGGGAATATAATGGAGAGAAAGGAATTAGGGAGAAAGAAAAGGCTGCTTTTGCGCCATATGAATTATTTATTCAGTCAAGCAATGAACTCACTATTTCTAACAATCTATTCCTGCAGCCTTCTAGTCAATTTCAACTCATAGCTACCCTACAGGACAGGGTAGAACTGCCCCCTAGGGTTTCCAAGGCTTTAAATCTTTAAGGAAGCAGACTGCCACATCTTTCTCCCGCAGAGCGGCTAGTTGGTTCAAACCACCGACCTTTCAGTTAGCAGCTGAGGGCTTAACCACTGCACCACCAGGGCTCCTTAGCAATCCATTAGGGAACTCTAAATAGTGAACTCAAAGGCTAATAAAGTTTTAAGATAATCACTATTAAACGAACTTCCCTTTCCACTTGAAAACATTTCTAAAAATTTAAATTATATTTTCTCCAATAATTTACATTTCTAATTTATAAAAATTACATATCAGACCAAAAGAGTAAATTTTTAAAACTGACCCAAAAAAGCAGCTAATAACTTTCATCACAGGATATTAACTAGTGACACATCATTTATTTTTTGTAATTCTTTATTTAAGAGATTACAGGAACGCTCACATAACTGTGTGTGTGTGTGTGTGTGTGTGTGTGTGTGTGTGTGTGTTGCATGTGTGTGCGCACGTGTACATACATGTCTGACTGCTGGATAACCAAATACCTTAAACTGGTTCAAGAAAATCTTGCTCCACTGTTGACAGAGCCATCAAGATTTATTTTATAGAAGTCTCTGGAAGGTAGTCTCGGTTCTTGATTAGCACCGTCAGGCTAGAGTCCAATTTCTCCCACACCATTAATGATGTTTTGTTGCCTAAATTATTAATAGAAATCAAGTCTCCTTTGAATAAGAGCGTAGATAAGTTACTTGCTTCCTGAAAAGGGAAATAAACAGGTCTAAGCTGTGCTCAAGTCACCTTCTCACACATACTTGAGATGATGCAGAATTTCTGTCCCTTTCTCATCACAAAATAATTTACTAAAATATTTCCCTTAAATCTTAAACATACTCTTTAATTTTTATGTATTAATTTATTTTTGCTCAGTTTGAGTCATTCTACATAACCTAAAACCCATATGGAACACAATTTTCTTCATAAAGTTACAAGTCTGGCTTCTTACACCTTCGTTCTCTACTTAAAATTATTTAAAAATCCGTGTGTCTCAACCAAAGTATTTATATGATATAAATTTACTGAACTCTAGTCTTCATAAGATTAAAAAAAAAAAAAAAAAAAAAAACCGAGTAAATCAGATGTCTTACTCATTTGTGCTAGCTTTCCCCCTCCTTAGGGTACATCTGACTCTCCCTGCTTCTACTTTCCTACCAGACAAATCACCAAGCAAGATCTCAGCACTGATCCTCCATTAAAACCATTTATTACAGAACGAGAATTAGAGCTGAGAGAGCAGTCAGTATTCACCAGACTGTATTGTGAGGAAACTGAGGCCCACACAAGCTAAGTTACCAACCAAGAATCTAACACCAGTATTTAGTGGCAGAGACTAGATACCAGGTTTCTGGACACCATCTGGTTCTCTCTACTATGTGTCTCCCCAATCACCCAAAAGGATCCTGGAATTCATATTAGAGAGTATAAACTGATAAAGCCTTTTGGAAAGCACTGTAGCAATATGTACTGTGAAGCTTGAAAGGGTTTGCCCAGTAATTCCCCTCCTGGGACTCTATACCAGGATAAAAAATCTAAGTTGTCAGACAAGCTTTATATACAAATATTCATTTCAGTTATTTATAATAAGAAAATTTAAAAAAGTAAATGAGCAATAAGGGGAAACGGTACATCCAGTCAAAGAACCATAACGGACCAATCTGAAATGTTTATGGAAGTTTTATAGTAATATTATAAGAGGCAGTTTTCTGTGTCAAGTAGGGGGAAGAAACAGTTACAAAAGCTCAGGAATGCATGCAAAACAAATGTTTCCATCAAATGAATCCTTAAATCTTCACTGAGTGAGGTTCTACCTTGTTAAGACTTACTCAGAGAAGAGGAGACTCTTATTTTTTAAATAGAATGCCGTTATATGGGGCAAGGGCAATGATCTACTTTCTCTAGGAAATACATTTACTTTATTTTTTTTTTAATTGGCATTACAACACAACTCATTTTTTTTCTCTCTCACTTTAGAGGGAACAAAATCCTGCCCTCGTAATCACTGTAGAATGGGAATAAAATGAGTTCCCTCAAGCCCAAACAAAACCTCAAGGCCGTTCCTTACATCAAGTTGAACTGTATTTGACTTAGGAGAACTGGAATAACTATATTACCAGTGCTCTGAGATACAAAAAAAAAAAAAAAAAAACTGTCCTCTTTTAAAGTACAACATCTGACTTATCAAAGTTTCAAACCATCCTCGGTAGTTCAAGGCCTTTCAAAAATCAGACTCTTAACAAATTGTAAATCTTGTCTAATCTTAACTCTTAAGTAGCAGAAGTACAGTCTGAGGATAGAAAAAAATTTTGTACATCTGTCAAAGAGGCAATGCAGCAAGGATATTCATATTATTTTAAGACACAAAGGTCTGATAACACATTTATTTATTCTATAATCTACAGTGAAAGACCATCACCTGTCTGTCAGTTTGTTGTACTGTGATTCTGTGTTGCTATGATGCTGGAAGCTATCAGTATTTCATATACCAGCAAGATAGACCATGGTGGGCAAGTTTCAGTGGAGCCCAGACTAAGACAGACAAGGAAAGTCTGGAAATCTACTTCTGAAAATTAGCCAATGAAAACCTTAATATCACAGCAGAACAGTGTCTTGATATTGCTGAAAGGTGAGCCCCCAGGTTGGAAGGCAGTGCACAACAGCCCCAACAACAGGTTCAAGCGTCCCAAGATCATTAAGATGATGCAGGACCGAGCAATGTTCTGTACTGCTGTACATGGAGTCACCATGAGTCGGAGCTGACTCAACACAGTTAACAACACAGTGGAAGAAGACCTAATAAATGACATCACTGAACTTGTATGCTTATACTTTTAAGAAAGAAATGGGACTTAAAAACAATCTGTGGAAGTTGACAAGATTTATTTCCCCTTTATGCCATAAAGAACACCAAATAAAAAGGCAGTGAAAAAGGCTGATTCTTTTCTAACAGGATTTTTTTTTTCTATTTTAGTTGGTATTCCATTATTCCCTTCAACAAGCAGTGTGTACTTATCAATACATAAGAGATAATAAAAACGTTAGAAGCCTTACCTACCTTCAAAAACAGAAAACATGGATATAAAAAAGTTACGTTTGCATCTTTATTTTTTGTTAAAATAAACATTATTCCCAAACCCATCTAAGTTAAGATAAATTGTTGAGGGTGACTGCTAAAAGATCTCAAAAAGATACTGTTTCATTCAAATTTATAAGTACCTTTCTTTCAGGTCTAAGGTTTCCATATATCAACAATTCTCATATTCTTTTGCTAATAAGTCTTCCTAACTAGGGTTATGAAAACCAACTTCCCAGTTCTTAGAAATAAATAACCCTGGAAAAGTTGAAATGTCCAAGTTAGCAAGAAATTTCCCATAATTCATGTCTGTACGGAGGTAAAAGTTTTTCATTCAAGGCACTGAAAAGACTTTTCTTCTGAAACAAACTAGATGAGGTATAGTTAACAAACAGTAAAGTTACCTAGTACACCCGCTCCTCACTTGTCGACATGGTTCAGTAGATGACCATATTAGATCACAAAATGGAGGATGACTACATCATTATATAACTGCCAAATTACATAACTACCCAATTACACCATTACATATCTGCCAAACAACCGACCATCGTGGTCCACTCAAGTTGACAGATAACCTTAACCATCACAGCCAGCATTACTCTAACCTCTCACCTCAGCGTTCGTTACTGTCAAACATAACGTCGTTAATACACAAAATAGTTGGACAGTAGATTTTTTACTATTGTTGTAAATGTGAAATGATGAAAAATGAGACGGTTGATAAGTGAGGAGTAGGTGTAGTTCCTTTGTAATATGGTTCCCTAAAACCTCCTTACATTTTAACAATGATTGGTCACACTTATAACCAACCAAACCCAGTAAAGAAATCATAGCTTATGCTTCAACCTAGCTCTATGATCTAAACCAAATGACAGAATTTTTGAGGTTCTCGGCTCTTATCTATAAAATTAACAAGACAAGATGGATTTCTAAGGCCCCTTTTCATGTGAAGAATCTATATTTCAGTCATTTTCAAATCCTTTCAAAGGCAGTGAGGTACCTGTAGTAAAAGAAACCTCACCTTTTTCTGTCAGTCTGCACAGAATGGGTTTCTAGGTTCTCCTAGCATTTCTGATACCCTTCTAGCCTTGGGATCTAGAGAAGTTGCTTTCTCTTGTAACATGATGATCTCTGCTAAAAGCTTCCTTTTGATCATTCTCTGTTTACACTATCGGCTACTAATCCCAACTGGGCAGGTTCCCTAGATGTCCTGCTTAGCCAAGAAGAGCCTTAATAACCTACAATAGGGCTTCTCCCCATAAAAGGTGTTAGGTTTGTTTTTATCTTTACACCTTTGTGGGGAACATCAAGTCTTCTGGGAAGTAGTTTTGTACAGGCAGACAACTCATAGCACTTAAGGTTTATATTCACCATATTAGCTAAAGAATGAGGCAAAACCAGAGGAAAAAAATTAATTTTAGGTAAACCACCGTCACTACAACAATTCTGAAACGTGACGTCAATATTTCCATTTGAAATATATTTGATAGGATTTAGTATATTATACGATACAAACCAAAGAAATTTGTTTTCATCTATGTCAATTTATGTTTTAATCTCCAGCTGAATCATATCACTAATAAATGGAGTGCTTTAAGTAGCCCTATAAATGAAAGACTAGTCAAAAAAAAAATGCTGAAAACATACATGGTTTAGTGAAATACCTGTGGATTTGGATATTTAGCATGCTAATTTGAACTTGATCACCTCCCAATTCCCTGCCTCCCTGCAACTGTTAAAATCAAACTTTTTCTGGTAGAAAACATCTTCGTTTTAGTCTTATATTATCATCTAGACCAATATTTTTAAATATTTTGATTTTCTATTATATTCCATATCAAAACTATTGAATATCCCCTCTATGTAATACTTATTAGTTCAAATTTCAAATTACTATTTCTTCTTCATTAAAATAAACCTGTTAAAAGAACATAAACTTTAATCACTGAACTATTGATTCGGCAAAACAAGAAAAAACAAATTAAGTTCTCAATCATTGCATGACACCAGCTCAATACTTTCAAAATAACCCTGAAAAGTTGAAATGCCCAAGTCAGCAAGAATTTCCCACAATCTGCATCTAAAGGGAGGTAAAGGTCTTTTCACCAAAGGCACTGAATAGAGCTTTTCTTCTGAAACAATGGGTATGAGGTACAGGGAACAAACAGTAAAGGTAACTAGTTCTTTTGTCATATGGCCCCCTACAACCTTATAATTTTAACAGTCAAGGACTATACTATTTGCAGCTTCTAACCAACTATACCCAGTAAAGAAGTAGTAGCTTTTGCTTTTAAAAGTCAAGTGAGCATAAGCATATTCTAATTTTCAAACAGATAATCAGAACGTAAACCAGAAAGTTTCAAAAAATAACATTTAAGAATTTCTAATTTTCATTACTATCAAACTAAAACACTAATTAAATATTAAATATTTATTCAAGTATGTTTATAATTAAGTACATTATTTTATACTTAGAGTTAATAATTGTCTAAATCACCAAATATACAAAAATTTACACAGAAAAATATACAAATAAGCTTGTAAAATGTACTACCCACATACAGGAAAACGTGAAAAATCTCGTGATATTAACTACCGTGAGACAATCTCATTTACTGATAAAGAAAAAGTAAGACATTTCCACACATAGTGCCTACGGCTGTAACTTTTGTTTACTTAACATAATTTGTCAGTTGATGTACCAATTACGTAAGAGAGGTACTTGCATTAAACGGGAACCACAAATACCAACCCAACAGCCCACCTAGTCTGCTTTAAATTAATGTATGAATATCACAGAGTCTTAGTTAGGCTTCTGGAAAAAGTATGGAGAAAAGACAGCAAGTCCACCTACACTCTGCCTGCACTTTCTCCTCAGAAAGAATACTCATCCCCTCCCCCAACAAATGTCTATACTAGAAAAAGATAAACGTGGGGATTATGCCAAGGTGACCCCAAGCTTTGTTCTTCTCCTCAAGGCACTTTCAGTAAAAAGATCTAAACACACATGTGATTTGACAAGCATTTAGGTTTACAAAGAACATGGTGAAAGTGAAATCATACTTGGGGCATTCATGGGTTCTGTGTCAAAGTTCATTTAGCACTATTTCAGCTGCTGCATACTAAGATTTAAAGTGGGCAGAGCACAGAGAACCACAAAATCATAGTACATCTGCTCTAAAAGGTATCTCTGGAAATCATCTCCAACCTTTTCATTATACAAACATATTTAATAACGTATGCAATTAATTTTGAATTTCCTAAGAGCTATTCATAGGGTAGTACTCATTTTTAGGAAAGACAGATACACCAACAAAAATATTCAGCAAGCATGACCAAAAAACCACAAAATCCAAAATTCTACAAATCAAAGGTAGTGCTTAAAATAATGAAATCTCAGGATTAACACAAGTGTATAATAATAAATTACTGAATTTTTATATTTCTCTAAAGGGAAATGTTCAGGACACAAATTACAATGCTAACAAAATACCTGAAATTAAAGTCTTTTAAAACACATGAAATATCAAATTGAATAATCTTTTTAAAATGGAAGAGGACTGATTGCTTAGGTTATTGAAATATTCTGAAAATGCTCAACTTAAAATGTTAACTATAATTTAGTACTAAAATGAATTTTAGTTTTTCAGTGCCTCAACATAATGTAAAAAGCAAGCTCCCAAAGGCTTCTTGAAACAAAAGCATTCAAAAAAAGACTTGGAAGAGGGGGAGGGTAAAAATGTCAGCAAGGGAACAAATGGCAATCCACTGGGCAGCGGCTGAAGATTTGGAAAAGCAAATGCATTCTGTCTTACCATCCTTGCTGTCTGTACCCCACAGCTACAAAAAAGAAAGGAGTTAACTGTGCTGCCTCAAAAATAAAAATTTTGCTCTACTACTGCATATAAACAATGAGAGTGCCTCTTTTGGAGGGGAGAGGATATAATATTTACAATTCACATCCTAAGTTTGGCTGGCAGAGCAGGCAAAATTTAAAACTTTTGTATTTGTATCTTGAATACTCTTGAAGTTTACCAATAAGATTCATATCCAGAAGGAAAATAAATCACCTTCTGCAAACCCAGTTTAATCTTGTATTTTCAGTAAGCCAGACTGAACCTCATCCTATATTAAAAAGCTAGAACTCAAAGGAGGAAGATGACATTCATCTATTTGACTCTCTACTGGTTCATCAACTATAGCTCTCTAGATAGCTTCTCATGTATTGAGAACTATGTCACAATCCCACAACATGTCTGTAAGTTTGTCGTACTGTGGTGGCTTGCGTGTTGCTGTGAAGCTGCAAGCTATGTCACCAATATTTCAAATACCCAGCAGGGTCACCCATGCTGGACAAGTTTTAGTGGAGCTTCCAGACTAAGACAAACTAGGAAGGAGGACCTGGAGGTCTGCTTCTGAAAAATTTGGCCAGTGAACACTTCATGAATAGCAGTGGAAAAATGTCTGATATAGTGCCAGATGATGATCCCCTCAAGTGGGAAGGCAATCGAAATACGACTAGGGAAGAGCTGCCTCCTCAGAGTAGAGTCGGCCTTAATTACGTGGATGCAGTAAAGCTTTCAAGATTTTCATTTGCTGATATGATACAACTTAAAATGAGAAGAAATAGCGGCAAACATCCACTAATGATCAGAATGTGGAATGTAAGAAGTATGAATTTAGGAAAATTGGAAGAGCCAAAAATGAAATGGAATGCATAAAGATCAATATCCTAGGCATTACTGAGCTGAAATGGACCGGTATTGGACATTCTGAATCAAACAATCATATGTCTACGATGCCGAGAACGACAAACTGAAGAGGAACGGTGTCACGTTCATCGTCAAAAAGAACATTTCAAGATCTATCCTAAAGTACAGCTCTGTCAATGGTAGAATAATATATAGATGCCTACAAGAAAGACGAGTTAATACAACTAATATTTAAATTTACACACCAACAACTAAAGCCAAAGATGAAAAAATTGAAGATTTTTACCAACTTCTGCAGTCTGAAATTGATCAAACATGTAATTAAGATACATTGATAATTACTGGTGACTGAAATGCGAAAGTTGGAAACAAAAAAGGAGGATCAGTAGTTGGAAAATATGGCCTTGGTGACAGAAATGACACCAGAGATTGCATGACAGAATTCTGTAAGACCAAAAACTTCTTCACTGCAAATACCTTTTTTCAACAACAAAAACGGCAACTATATACATGGACCTTGCCGGATGGAAAATACAGGAATCA